GGCCTGGTCATAGGCAGCCATCTTGTGAGGGTGTGAGGGTCAATTTAGATATTACCTCTTTATTATAGAGGATTATTTAAAATCCCTTGAGAGAGGATTGGATTGGCCCAGCTTGAACCAGATGTCTATTGTAGCCAACCAGCCTTAGCCCTGGGTGTCGGGGTGGGGTGTTTGGAGTCATATGGTATTAATATAGAATTTAGACATACTGGCTGAGTAATGAATAATTCTCAGAGGAGGAGTTTATATTTCAAATTGTACATATATTTGAATTCCATTATAGTACTTTATTGATTCGCCATCATATTTGTTGTTTCTTATTTCCTAACTTTGGGATTTGTCCAAAAGATATCCCATTTCTTCAGTACTCTTCCTCTTGAAATTTTATGGTTTTGAGTATCACTGATATGTAGGTGAATCTGAAATATTTATTTCCAGATTTTATTCACTTCATAATGCCTACCTCACATGTTCATTGGGACTATAGGCTTCTGCTCTTGGATATCTCACAGGTAAATCATAGTATGTCCAGAATCGCCAAATTCCTCTATCTAATTGTTTTGATGTCAACTCTCTACTACTAATCATGTAGGACCAAAAGTTTGAGATTATGTGTATGTCCAACCTCACAATTTCTTTTCTCACATTTCATTAGTCATCAAACTCTATTGCTTCTTCTTAATTTCCCATATTCATTTACTCCTTTTATATTATTGCCCAAACTGCAGTTCAGACCTTTATTACTTCTTATCTAAATCATTGAAATAATTGCCCAACTGTTTACCTACAGTCACTCCTCATTACAAAACATTGAACATATGATTTTCAGTTTAGTCATTTTAAACAGAGCTGTAATGTCATCACTTTTCTGTTCAGTAATTCCCTCTTATTTATCAAATATAACTCAAAAGTCTATGTATAACGTAGAATTAGTGCTCACTGCAACTAAGAAAATTTAAAATAGCAATAACAAACAAAATCAAAGTTTATTTCTTTGAAGTTTTTTTTCATACTAGTCCAGAGCTGGAAAGATGATACAGGACCTAGGTTCCATCTAACTAGCTGCTCTGCTGTAAATGGCTTATTCTTAAGGTCATCTCATGATCCATTGGCAATGACACTCATCACAGTCATGCTTCATGCAGCAGAATAGAGGAAAGGCAGAAAAAAGGTTTGTGTACTTTATTAGGGGACTTCCTAGAACTACTATCTTAATTTTACTTATATCTCACTGGCTGAAACCTAGAAATAAGTGCATACATAATTGCCAGAAAGAATCTTTCCTAAGAAATGAAGGAAAATAGACATTGATGTAGGCAGCTGTAAGTGTCTGCCATAGATTGCTATTTAATGCCATTTACTTTTGTTCTCAACTGAGCATTTGCAGCTTCATTTCTTATCTTGAGTTTAAGCATTCTGTTAGGGTAAATTTCAAGCAACCAATGTCAGAGGTTTAAGTCAGATAGACGTGTATTATCTGACATATGAATCTAGTGGGTGTAGGCTGACAGAATAGCTCTGCTTTCCTGGTCAGTGAGAAACTCAGGATCCTCATTATCATAGGGCATTGTACTCATTTGCCTGATCAAAGCTGACTCAGCACTATATTTGTGTTCCAGTCTACTGGAAAGAGAGAGAGAAAAGTCTTATTCTAGAGAAAGTAGCCTATCTGTAAGTTAGAAGTGACCTGAAATGTGCACATCCCCCAGGCTTGCCCATGGGTCATACACATCTTCCAGAAAGACTGGGAAATAAAGACTGTGCCTGGATGATCGTGTGCTCAGGAAGAAGCAGAGAAAGATTTGGAAGGGATAACTGCTGCTCTGTCACGTTCCAGTTCTGTCTGTACTTCAAGGGACAGCTCAAGTGCCATATGTGCAAAGAAGCTATTTCTGAATATTTAACCAAAAGCAATAATGCTTATAACTCACAGTTATCTACAGCTGAATATTTGCCAGGAACCAGACTGTGTATCCTGGCTTAATGCTCTTCAAAATTCTATAAGATTTTGTCCACATTTCCACAGATGGAAGATTATAGCTTACTGATTAAACAAACATTATAGGACTAGGAAGTGTTGGAATCATGAGCTCTCCTTCTGTGCTCCCACAGCTTTTCTTTTCTTTTTAGTAGTTTATGCTACATCATTTGTGATGTGTCTCCCTTCCCTCCTAGATTGTGAACTTTCTGAGGCCAGGCGTGTTTCCTCTATTAGTCCTATCGTAGCTAACAGAATACCTTGTATGTAGGAGGCTTTCATTAAATATGTACTGAACAAATGAATTTTCATCTAAAAAAAATTCTGAATTCACAGATAATGTATATAAAGGGTCAGTTTGAGCAGGGTATCCATGTGGTTGGGAGACTTTAATATATTCTCTTTATATTAAACTAGAGGCCCGCTGCCTGAAATTCGTGCATGGGTAGGGTCCCTAGGCCTGGCCGGCAATCAGGACCCATTTGTGGGGTGACCAGCAGAGCGATCCGGGGCCCCCTGCTGGCACCTGCCTTGGCTGGCCTGGGGCCTGCGGGCTGGGGGCAGCCCCTGCGTCGAGCGTCTGCCCCCCTGGTGGTCAGTGCACGTCATAGTGATCAGTCGTTCCACCGGTTGTTCCACCATTTGGTCAATTTGCATATCAGGCTTTTATTATATAGAATTATGACAATGATCTTCAGCTACTACCTTTTCTACAGAACTGCACTCATGCACTTAGAGTAGATTATATTTATCTTTGTGAAATTCTTTGATAATTTAAAAAAAGTGCAATGTGTGAGACTAAAGTATGTTTTCTTTTTAAATGCCTATATTTGCTTTTTCAAAGTTTCCTTTTGCTTCTTATCATGTGTTGTATTTATCATTAAATAACTATAACAATCTCAATTTATTTGTGATGGGTAAGAAATGATTAAAATAGCTATATTGATTTTCCATTAATATATTTATTGACATGAGTGTGGCAGACCAATTAAGTATGTGATATCTATACAGAAAGCTGAAAACCACTGGCTTTCCATATTTTCTATGATTCATTACAGGCCACAATCCATATTGAAAAATAATCAACAAAACTTAAATTATTTATAAAGTGTATTCTAAGCATAGAAATTAAATTACATATTGTTTTCAGCCTGAGGCTTTTCTCTGCTTTAGAAATAAAATCATACAAATGCATTTTCCTCAGAGCCTATGAAAAAGTTGAGATAAGATATCTCATTTCAGAAAATGTATTTTTAATTTATATTTGAAACCCTAAATATTGTATGTGTGTCTCTGTGTGTGTGTTGGGTATGTTTAGGGGTGTCTGTAGATGGTAGTGGAGAAATAGGCTTAAGTCACACTGATGTTTATTTTATTAAGAAGAATGCACCCAGTATATATTTCTATACTGTAATATATTCTGAGGGATCTTATTAAAAAAACCTGAGTAAAAAGACTTAGACATCTTATTTCAAATATTGGTTCTGTTCACTATTAAAGCTACGACCTTGAGTTTGATACTTACTCTCTCTGAGCCTCCTTCCCCCCTCCTGTAAAACAGAGGAAGTCCAGTTTAGTATCAGTTAATCACCAGATGTTCACTAAGCAAATTGTATATATAGCAATAAGGAAAAACTTAAGAACCTCAAGTTATAGCAAGGACTAAAACACAGATACATCAATACTAAATTATGGAACAGATTTTTGTGGGCTTTAGACTTAGAGCTGAGATGAATTCTTGGCCCTTTGTAGTTAAGCAGTTTCTTCATCTATGACCTCCTCATCCACTAAGTCACCATCATCTAATTCCTGTCTTTCTGCAGCAACCTCGTAATCAGTGTCCCTGCTCCTGCACAGCAGCCGTAGTGATCTTTTCAGAATGTAAATGAAATCTTTCATGCTCTAGTTTAGTCTCATTTTCTAGCATACAACCTCAACTTAATTGTCTCACTTGTCTTTGATATACTTGTGTACTCTCTCTATACTTACCTCATGGGATCATTTTCATTCATAAGACTTTAAAGATCTTACATATGTTAATGATTTTTAAAATGATGTATCAAGTCTGAAACTTTGTCCTGAGATTAAACTCATGTATCCATCTGTCACTTGGATGGCCATGGTCATCTCAAACATAACATGTCCAATACTGAACCTATTCTCTACCCTCACCCCACATCTGCTTCTGTATCAATCTTCCCCATCTCAGTAAATGGCAGTTCCATCCTTCCAGTTACTCAGTTCAATCATAATTCCCTTTCCCCCCTCACACTTAATTTCTAATTTATTGGGCAGTCTGATTAGAGCTCATGTCAAGATATATCCAATATCCAAACTGTTCTTTTTACTTGCATTGTTAGAACTCTGATCCAAGCCACCATTACCTCTCACTTAAATATGTGTGCTCCCTCCCTTGCTACATCTACCTCCACACACTTCAACTCTCAACCCAGAAGTGGGACGATCATGTTAAAAATTAAATTAAATCATGCCATACCCTTTATCAAAACCCTGTAATGGCTTCCCATCTTATCTAGAGTTAATTTGGCTACTTGTCACTCTGACCTTACTACATATATCTTTCCTTCCCTGCCCACTCCAGCCATAGTTGGACTGATTCAGCTTACATTATGGGATAAAAGTTTATCTTAAATTCAAATAATAGTGACATATCTAAGGATATAAATCAGTCTTCATAATTAAAGCTGTGCTGGATTTTACCTATGAAGAAGGCATATACCAACAAGATTTCTGGCAACCATAGCAGAAAATTTTTTCCAGAGGCTATAAAGTTCATTGACATCATGAGAATTTTGTTTCTCAATCCAAATATGCTAAGTATTATAAGATTAATCTAGGAGGACTGTAAACATGTATTGTTTTACTGATTTGTTTTGTGTGAAACATTATTATAAGGTGCTTTTTAAGAAAAAATAGTTATACTTAACCATCAGAAGTTGGTTAATTAAAATTTAGAAGTGATAGCTATAATTATTGATTTGTTTTGTTTTGTTTTGTTTAGGCCACCATTTTCAATCACAGCAGAATTCATTTTGAGATTCAACCAAACAAAAAATCTAAAAGAGAAGAAAAAATTGTTGGACCTAGCTAGAAAAATCCTTCTCAAATGTAAGGTAGTGTTACATTATTTGATTTAGTTGGTATATGAACTTTCTGTTTTAGTTGGTGGATGATTACTTGTTCTAAAATATTGAAAGAAAAAGTAAGAATACACCTTTCTTTAATTATAAGTAGGCATAGTTAAAAATATTAATGCAAATTAAAGTTTATAATCAAACTAGAGGCCCGGTGCATGAAATTTGTACACAGGTAGGGTCCCTAGGCCTGGCCGATGATCAGGGCAGATCAGGTTCCCCACCTCCCTGCCTCCCTAACTCCTCCTTCCCTCATTCCCTCAGCACCCCACTGCTGCTGGTCACCTGCCATGCTCCACACCTCCCCCTGGTGGTCAGCGCACGTCATAGTGAGCGATCGAACTCCTGTTCTCCTGGTGGAACTCCCAAGGGGACACTTTGCATATTAGCCTTTTATATATAGAGATAATTCAATGTCAAATGGCTTCTGGGGTGAAAATTCCACTTAAATTATTAGGGAATATTGCTGCTGACACTAGTCAAAGAGCCCACATCAAAATATCAAAGGCTGGTAAATACATTTTTGATAATGAAAATTCCACTTTGTCTTTAAAAAAAAAGGTGACTGAGATATCAGGTGTCCCAAAGAGGGAAGAAAGCTTTTTTTTTTAAATATATTTCATTGATTTTTTACAGAGAGGAAGGGAGAGGGACAGAGAGTCAGAAACATCGATGAGAGAGAAACACCGATCAGCTGCCTCCTGCACACCCCCCACCGGGGATGCACCCGCAACCAAGGCACATGCCCCTGACCGGAATCGAACCTGGGACCCTTCAGTCTGCAGGCCGACACTCCATCCACCAAGCCAAACCGGCCAGGGCAAGAAAGCTTTTCTTAACCTTCACTATATATGCACAGAGGGTTGCCATATTTATTAACTCCTGCCCATCTATAGTACAGTAGCCAGAATTTTTCAGCTGTTTGACATGAAACTAATTCCTATGAATTACATTTCATCAATATACTTTTATTTTCTTTTTAAAATCAGAGATGCATCCTCTTTGTAGGGAAATGAGATAAAAATAGAAGAAAGCCCTAGAAAATAGTGATAATTATTTTCAACAAATAACTAATAATATCACTCAGAATAGTAGCAAACGTTCTCTACATTTTAATACTAAAACAGTTTACCTAAAGGGTCAACATGTAAAAATAATAAAAGCAAAAATAAAAAATAAAAATTTATACAACTCTAGCCACAGAGCATCAGCCTCATAGAATGACTTTGAAAATATAATTAAGGGATAATTTAAATAAATAAATAAATAAATAAATAAATAAATAGTACATGTTTGTTTGCCTCTTTCATGTTTCCCCATCACAGAGAAAATTGGGTCTCAGCACATTAGGCACCGGGGAACATGTGCATCTTCCTACTACATGGATTGAAATATCATATCTGGCTCAATGCAAAGGACAAATTCAAGATGGTATGTGCTTTAACTAAATTCTTCCTAGTTACTCTAAGTGTTTTTTAAATTAGCAGAGAAGGTGTAATTTGAGACCTTTCATATTTAGAAATTGTGTAGGATCCAGGAAAAAATTTGTCTTTTTCTATCGAAATACCTGATAATGTTTCATTATGAAAGTTCCTTTTGTAATTTTGAATTAATGAATTTGCTCAACTTTTTAATTACAAATTTGCTTTAAACTCTTTTGCTCAGCATAGTCTTTATTGCTTTTTTCTAAAATTAGTAACTAATTAAAAAGTAATATAAAGTGTCATTTAGTGATTTTTCAATTATAATAGGGACTATAGAGAAACTTGATTCTGCACTTTAGAATTCTTACTCATAAAACATTAACCAAATGGCCGTTAGTTTTTCACTTATTTTAAACAGCCACTTTACTCATTACCTTTTCATTTATCACTTCTCACTTATATGTCTCCTTTCAAACTACCCTCCAACTAATCTAAAAAAGAAATTAAAAACCATTATTTTTAAGGAGGTAAAATTGCTTCTATCATTATCCTAAATTTTATGTGTGTGCCTTTTAAAATGAGTTTTTAGAATGTGAAATGCATGAGGTCAGAGAGTATTTCCCTGTGTAAATTGGGTTTTGTAGTGCTGTCTGGGAGCTTCCAAGCAACAGGAAGAGTAAGAACAATTTTGCATTTAACTTGCCTATACGGCACTTTGTCACAGTGCCATCCACAGCTTCACCTCTATTAAATGTTTAAATGATATGGAAGTAAACACTCTTGGCTTACCAGCAACCAGCAGCCACTTGCTCTTCTTTGTCAATTAAACCTCAGTTTTGTTCAGGCACCCTGCAGTCATGTGATTCAGAAGTGGACTGGCCTTTCCCAGCCTCAGGGGTGAATCATGATTGAGCTAAGCTAATTAAGACAACACCCCTTTAAACTTCAGTGATTAGATAGATGGGGGAGTCACAGGACCTGGTCCTGATCAAGAGATGTGAAGACGAGTCTGTTAGAAATACTTATTCTTTGAACTGCTTTTGATAAAGACATATCTGAGAACAAAGCACCCCTTTCCTCCCTATGCTCTCTGGATTCTTCTCTAACTGCTATGGTGGAAAGGACAAAATGCCTAATGCTTGTGTAGTCATCACAGTCATCAGGTACACCAGGGGAACTAGAAGATGGAGACATGCACACAGAGGGCAGTTACTTTGATCAGCCTTGGAGCATTTCCAACTTTGATCTTGTGAAGTTACAAGCATAGCTATTTTGAAGACACTGTGTTTTCTGTTACACACAACCAAAAGCTCATGATAATATTGAACTCCAAATAAAAGACCTAAGTATGATTTCTTTCTACCAGCTCCACAACTGAAACACTCTACTCATCAGTGTCCAGCCTGTACCCTTGTCTGGAGGTTCCTTATTCTACTGTCCACTCTCCAGTCAGCAGTGACCATTCTAAATTTTAAATATTTTCTTTTATCTTAACCTAAAAAGAACTCTAACTTTATATTATGGGCTACAAGGCTATGGATGATCTGGCTCTTGGCTGCCTTCCCTACTTATTCCTTATGCTCCAGCCATGCTGGTCTCCTTCCCATCCCTTGAATATGCCAGGGCTTTTCCTTTCTCAAGTCCCTGCATTTTCTGTTCTTCCTCAGATACTTACATGACAGTTCTTCAAATCTTTGTGATTACTTGAGGTGCAGTTTTCTTTAGGGCCTTAGCTCAATATTCTTCCTTGTTCAGTTCCACTGGGCCCTATTTTCTCTGCCTTGATTTCCTACTCTTCTCTTTTATAGCACTTATTTTTAGCACTGTCTTTTGTCATCCAGTTCTGTCTTATTTCCCACACTATTGTGTATGTGGTTGGGTGATCTATTTTGTGTTGGCTGCAACAGCTTGGAGCTCCTTGGGCATTCTCTCTCTCTTTCTCTTTCTCATCTCTGTCTCTATGGTCTTTCGAGCTTTGTGACTTCTGAAAAAGCTGGACTTCCTTCATGGCAGCTTAAGGTTCCAAAGTTTCTATCTTGAAAGAAAGATCCAGGTGGCAGCTGGATTGCCTTTTCTAATCTAGCCTGGGAAACCCTGCAGTGTTAATTCTGCCAGTCTATTGGTTGAAGCAGCTACTAGACCTGATCAGGTTCAAGATTCAAGGGGACGGACTTGATGGGAGAGGTCAAAGAATTTGTAAATATTTTAAAACTACAGTCTGGTCTTGGGAAATAGTTCACTGTAAGACTTAACTGTAGCATATAGAAAACAGCATAATTTATCAACTATAGAGCTTCTACTTTTTGATTTTTCAGAAGCTTTAAATGTGCTTTATGCTTCCTTGGACCATGCTTCCTTTTATTATGATCATCCACCTGCCTTATTTTTTCTTGCGGAATCAATTTTATATAGACTCTGTTGCGATGCATTCCTAAAGCCATACTTATATTCTGTGGAAATAAAGCTGGCAAAGGTATGTTTTAAAATAATTTTAATGTGTTGTCATTACTACATGTACTTTGTATAACTGTATAGCATCTGCTTTAGGATCTGAACAGAGTGTTTGGTTTATTATAGAATATTCTCTCACTTGGCAGTTTGTGTTAGTCTTCTCTAAATGTGGGTAATGCATTTTTAAAAAATAGTTTTGTTGACTTCAGAGAGGAAGAGTGAGGGAGAGAGAGAGACAGATACTTCAAAGTTGAGAGAGAATCATTGATTGGCTGCCCCCTGCACGCTGCCTACTGGGGATTGAGCATGCAATCCTGGTATATGCCTTGACTGGAATTGAACTGTGGCCTCTTGGTTCATAGGTCAGTATTCAACCACTGAGTCACACCTGGTGGGCTGGGTAATGTATTATTGCTTACTATTCAAATAGAGATAGTTCTAGAGAATATATCACCAACTATGTAAGAAAATAATTATATATATATATATATAATATAATATAATATAATTATTATATTATATATATATAATTATATATATATAATAATTATA